TTGTAAGTCAAAGCATGTGTCCTACAAAGTCAACACTTATTAGAGGTCCTATAGAATGTCACCATATAGCCCTTAGTTAGATAGTATATATAGAAACAAGAGTGAAGCCTTCTTCACTCTTGTCAACTCCTTTCTTGCTTCCAGTCTAGTTTCAAGGGTCTCTTTTCTTGGCTTTTTGGCAATAGCCATTCTAATTTCTTTCTTTATATATATATATATATATATATCAAGTTATTTCTATTTTATCATCTTTCTTTGAGAGAAGTCTCACTTATTTATTTGTCTTTATCATATTCTTGTCCTTGACAAATTAACATATTATGGTTTGAAAATATCAACAACAAGGTTGAAAAAGGATGCCAGCTAATACCTAAGTTGAGTTTAGGAATTATCATCTATTTAACATATGCAATTTCCTTTTGTGATTTTTTTTAACTTAGTTGTTGTAAAATTTAAAAATTTTGAGTCAAATTCAATGGTTCAAGCATTTGTTATTGAATTTTCAACCTACTATAGGATTTATTCAGAATTTATTTAAAATTTAGGATTTAATTAAGGATTGATTAGGATTAGTTTAGGATCTATAATTTTATTAGAATTTAGATAGAATTAAATTTTTCTTTAGGATTTAATTAGGATTCGATTAGAATTTTACTAAAATTTTAGATTTGATTAGGATTTGATTAGGATTTAAAATTTTATTAGAATTTGGTCTAAGTTTAGAATTTAAGGTTTGATTAGAATTTTTTTGGGATTTAATTAGGATTTGATTAGATTTTGGAAAGGATTTTATTAGGATTTTATGAAGTTTTGGTTTAAGATTTGATTAGGTTTGATGTAGGATTTGATTAGGATTTTTAAAGATTATATTAAGATTTGATTAGGATTTACTTAAGATTTTTATTTGTGATATTTTAAAAATATTTCTTTAATATTACTTTAAATTTTATTATTATATATATCTTATTAAGGTTAATTTATCATTTCTTTATGTTTTTTTTGTAAGTTCTTGAAATTTCTTTTGTATTTAATTAAAGATTGAATAGCATTGTTATAATTTAATTGGATTTTTATTTAAAAGTTTATTAGAGTTGTTAGAATCATCTTGTTGCAAGTTCCATTTTTCCTTCCACAATTAGATGTTTAGTACATTCTCAAGCAAACTTCACGTAATATGACAATGGTATTGGAAACAAGGAAACATAGATGAGAACATGAGAAATTGAAATAGGAGATAAAAGATGCAATGATGATTAACATGTTGGTCAATTTAACAAAAACTTGGGTCATTTTAACATTGACTTATTTATTTGTAAGTGTATATATGTAAATATGTGTATGTGTGTATGCATTATTGAGTTACTTATCTTTCTTGTTTTGAATGTCAAATAATGTCAAACTGAGATTATATACATTTTGAATTATTTTTGTTGTATGATCAATGCATATATTTTTTAATGAAATTATAATAACAATGCAAATATTTTTTAATGAAATTATAATAACAATTCAAATATTTTATAATGAAATTATGATAACAATGTAATATATATATACACACACACACACACACACACACACATATATATATATATATATATATATATATGATTTTTAGACAATTGCAGTGGTAGGTCACAATGTATTTTTATAAGGCATGTCACACAGAGAATTATTATTTATTCCAAACAAGTGAATTTACTCAAGTCACTGTGATTGTAAAATAGAAAAAATAAAATAAAATAATATATATATATATATATATATATATTTTTCTTAAACAAAATTTTCATATTTGGAAATGTTATCTTCCAAGACTCAAAGCATTTTTAATCATCTAGACTTTTGATGAAACAATATAAAGTAATTTAATTTTTTCAGTATTTAGGACATAGATTTACAAGATATGTAATAATTAAAATTAATAATAAAATATTAAATAAATAAATAATAAAAAATCATTAAAATAAAATTTACAATCAAAATTTATTTTAAAAATTGTTTATTATTTTATATAGGTGTTTTTGTTTTAGGAGATTTAAAAACTTTCAATAAACATGTGTATTCAAAAAAACGGCAAGGAAATGTTAATACCTTTTTTACTTATTAAATGGTAAAATATTTCTTTATTTGAAGCTATAGACTTATACGAATTATACCATAATTCAAAACAAAAATAAAAATAATGTATCAACATTTGTGGATAATAACAATACTTGATTTTACACATTACCTATCACCATGATAACATGAACTTATATTGAAGCAATTAGTTATTATACAATTGATTTTCCCATTTTGTAATAGACATGCAAAAAAATGTTTAACTTATAACAATTAGATAGACCAAAAAGCTTGTAGAATCAATAACTTAGAATTATATTCAGACATATACATATGTCTATACATCTGCATAAATGTATGAGTAGATGGATAAATATAAATGAGAAAGGAAAGGGGAAAGAAACACACACATACATACATATCTATATATATATATATATATATGAATTGCAATTATGTGGGCAGAATGTTTATATTGTTTGCTGCCATTTTGCAATTTGACTTATGCATCATGGACAAATAAATGTTACTTACAGTTATAAATTTTAAAAAGGTGATAGAGAAGATATTGAAAATATTCTGAGACATTACACCATAATTTTAAAATAAAAAAAAAATAATAATGGGTAAATTAGAATAAAATTATCCCCAGAAAATTAATAAAAAAATAAATGCACTTGTTTCACGTGTATATTTGGAATCACTAATTAAACAGAAACCCAAGAAACTTAATATAAAACATAAGATTCTGTTTTGTATATATAATTGAGTAAACTCATGCTCACCTTTGTGAACAACCTATTCCATGCTCAAGCCATCTATATTTTGAAGTCATATCTTTAATCTATATATTATATTGCAGCTGACCTTTGTCTTTGCATTAACAATTAGTTCAAAAAATTTAAATATATTTAGAAGATACCAAATGAAAAGAATGAATTTATGAATGAGATTTCAAGTAACCTGCAAGTCCTTTACTTGTACAGTTTTTGATATATGTAACAAATCTAGATGTGAAGAAGTAAATTCATTAATAGCATAAGTCACAACAACAGTACAAGTACTGTACAAGTGATGTCATTTTTTTGGTACTTTCACTTTATAACATATTGTCAAAGCTTTGTTCTACAAAGTTGTAGATTAGAGGCACAAATGATTGGAGAGCCATTGGCACATAATGTATTCACATGGAACTTTTGATGCGCATTCACCAAATTTCTTGTGCTTTATTGCCTCTTAATTTGACTAAAAGTAGCATGTGACATCTATGACCTCTTTTAAATACACACATTGACATCAAATTTAATAGAGTAAACTTTGAGAAATTCCATCACAAATAAGAGTTTTTTTTTTTTTTTTTTTTTTGACATGAAGAGTGGTTGTTCTCTATTGCAGTCAAAGGGTTAATTTACATAAGCCCTACTTAGGTGTTGCTAAGGTATATTATATCCTAGATATTAGTAAGAAAATTGCTTCTAGGTCCACCTAATTCCCATACCAGCTCATCTACAAGCCATGTTGTCATTACCTTGTTCGTACACCACTGGCATTGAAATTGCTCAACATGCTCTCTCAGCTGTAAAGGTGTGCATTGTATTCTCATTGAAGTGTAAAGCCATGTGTTCCACCCATAGTCAATGAGATTAAACCCTGTTGTGTTACACATCTTTTCCTATGACCTGTGACTCCATTAAATAAAACATCATTTCTCTCTATCCATAATACTCATGCTATGACACCCCTCATGAAGTAGCCACAACATGCTAACAAGTTTGAATTGGTGTGGAATACTGTGCGCAAAGATGCAATGCTTCCATGAGGGAGAAAATGGCAAAGGGCCTAAGCCCCCACTTTGCAAATCACCAAGTTTTGTTTACTTGCCTCATGTGTCCTTTTATATCAGGGGAATCTGAAGTACCACTGTAGGTCGACAAATTGAATAAGAGTTTTCACATGAGAAGTCTTCAAAGAAAGCAATGACTTATAGAAAGAAGAAAAAGAGTATCCTCCAAGACAATTTCCATATCTATTTTTTATGAATCAATAAATGCCAAACCTACATCATGGGACATTCCCCTTCCCCCCACCATGCCCCCACCATGCCCCCACCATGCCCCCACTTAAAGCAACTTTTTGGATCTTCAATTGTGAAGAAAAAGAAAAGAAAACAAAAAAAACAAAAAAAACAAAATGACACTTTAAAGGAAGAACATGAGACAAGAGTGAACACCCTAACCTCGACAAAGAAATGAATCCCCAACTACTCTAATCAAATACTTTGATGTCCCTACATCAATACCCATAGGTCCAAATTCCAATGTGGCAACAGTACAAGACCCCAAAATTCCAAAATACGTGAGGGGTGAAAACTAGGATTTCGATGCCATCAAGCTCGACGTCGACGAGGTGAGCTTCGGTGAAGCAGATCGTGAAGCTTCAGATCCCTTGGGCGATGGTGGCATTGCCATCGTCGTGGGATTGCTGCTCTCGCGGCGCCGCCTCATGCATTGCACAATTTGGGAAATGAGAAATGAGAAACCGTTGACCATTCTTCACCACCACCACCATCAAGTTGTAGCACCAGGCACCGAGATTTTGAACATTGGAGGTTGTGTGCGTGGGTGGTCGCGGACACAGCTCCTGCACTTGTTTATCCCCAATCTGACACACCGTGCGGGAATTATGATTTGCCGTTTGGTACCCGGAGCTTGAAATCTATCGAAGCAGCGAGACGGACGAGGGGGATCGTCAGTGGGAATGGGTGCTGACGTTAATGACGGGCGCATACGATTGTGGATTAAAGTCGTGAGATAATGCGGTCTTTCTCACAACCACCACACCGCTTTCCTCCCAATCTTCAACTGGGTTTCAACTTAGAAGACTAGAATGGGTCGCAGAGTCGCGACAAGTTATCCGACTCGCTAGGAAACCTCGGTTCAACTATCGTGGCGACATATTATTCAGTTTTGCGTTTTCTTTTATCTTTTATTTCAGAGGGATGATGCAATTTTCAGTGTCATTAGCAGGCGTTAGCGTGTTGGCTAATGACACTGACAGCTGCCCCAGTTTCTTGCTGCCCCACGAGAGAGTCAAATGGGAAGTCTTCATAGGACGTTTCCATGACTTGACTCCGACCCCATAAATTTGAAGCGTTTCAACTCCTTATTTCACATAGCAGAACCAGATCTCCACAGGAACTTCCTGTCGGTATAGCCCTCGACTGCGTTTTCACGAAGTTACTCTTTCTCCCAATTCATGATCAACAGTTCCAGAGCTTTCACCACGCGACATATAAGAAAATTCCTCGTCGTCAAACTGTCTGCTGCTGTTAAGAAGAAACATCAGTGGAGGTTGAGCAACGTGACCGGAACTGGTCACCACACGGTATCATGGACAGAAATAGGGCGGCCAGCTTTGTGAAGATTGCGAGTCGAGAACCAAGAAAGCAGAGGTCGTTGAGGCGCGATGGGTTGTCACTAGACCTGAAACCGGTCGGGGCTGAAACCAGCGATTCGGGGATATGGCAGCAGCAGCAGCAGCTGCGAGAGAGAAAAGACCCATATTTCGAGGCGCAAGCGTTGCTGGAGCTCAGTTTTGAGGTTAACAAGGATACAGTTACGTTACGAAGCGTGTCACCCGCAGCCATTGCCGAGGTGCCCATCATACCGGCAGGAGAAAACCTTCCCTGGGGCAGAATCGAGTCACACAAGAATGAGAGTCACCAATCGAGTACGAGCAGTTCTCTGGCAGCCATCATGCCACGCTCGCTGTCGTTAGGGGATAGCGTCAGAGCAGTGGGGAGCATGGTGAAGCAGCTTAGCAACGAACTCGCTCGAATGACACGAAACGCATCGAAGGCCCAGGATTACATCACCCCGGTTGAGCAGTCAGAGTCTCCTGATCTTGAGCTCGGAAGACCGGGTTCTCCCAGAAACATGCAGAAGAGTACCTCGCGCGCGGAGTACGCACTTCAGGCCGTTCGGTGCATCAGTAAGGCGACCGCCACAGATGACGAGAAGAAGTTGTGGGAGAAAGTAGAGCAACGGTTCGTCAAGCTTGCGGACGCTGATTCCATGTTGCCTCGTTCCAATTTTGCCGAATGCATTGGTATGTTCGAAGACCCTCTACATTCCACATCTATCACAAGACATATTCCATATATCTAGTTCTGTGGACAGTGACGGAATTGGAATGTGTGTTTGCTTGAAGTAACTAATATCGTTGCTACTGCATGTGCACAGGAATGAAGGAATCGAAGGAGTTTGCTAATGAGCTCTTCGATGCGCTGGTTCGTTGCAAAGGCGAGAAGGTGAACAGCATCAGCAAACAGGAATTGTACCAGTATTGGTTGGTAATTGCGAACAAAAGCTTCGACGGCCGCATGCAAATGTTCTTCGCCTTGTAAATTGCCTAGACCTTGTTCTTTCATACCTGATCTCACAAAAAATCATCTCATTTCCTCCATATCTTGATCAGTTGAAAATGTGGATTGAGTGAGCCTGACGGAAAAAAACCAAGTTTTCATATCTTTTGATAGGTGTGATAAGGATCTGGATGGTCGCATCACGGCCGAGGAAGTGAAGCAAGTGATAGTGTTGAGCGCGAGTGCGAACAAGCTGTCTGTATTGAAGGAGCAGGCATCAGAGTACGCTGCGCTTATTATGGAAGAACTCGACGTGAATCGTAATGGTTACATAGAGGTGTGCACTTGAGTTCTTCTCCAATCACTAGCAATTATTTGTTAAGTATCGCACACTCATACGCACACACACACCATTGTTGAAGCTTTAAGAATGGTTCACCGACAATTCGACTATGTGTGATTGCAGCTGAGTGAGTTTGAGTCACTCATGCGCGGATCTGTGATGGCTGCAAATGGAAAAGAACCAACAGTACAGTATAACCAAATGTTAAAGCAGAAGAGCAAGCGAACAAAAGTGCAGGATGCCACAGGAAAGGCTAAACACTTCTTGCACGATTACTGGAAGCGGTTGTGGATACTCGCCCTTTGGGTGATGGCCATGACAGGACTCTTCACTTGGAAGTTTCTTCAGTATCGGCATCACGAGGCATATGCAGTCATGGGTGAGTGTCTCTGCGTCGCTAAAGGCGCAGCGGAGACACTGAAGCTCAACATGGCCCTCATTCTGCTGCCTGTATGTCGCAACATGCTCACAAGGCTTCGGTCCACGCGATTAGGCAAGCTCATTCCCTTCGACGAGAATCTCGACTTTCACAAGGCAAGTCTCCTTCCTGATCCGGAGCATGTCAGAGATAGAAAATTCACTAGCAAGTTGGTAAAAAAGCCGTGAGCAGGTTGCTAATAGTCAAATTGTGGCGTCTGAATTGGATTTGCGAAACTGGGCTGTGCAGTGTATCGCTGCAGCTATAGCAGTGGGAGTGTTCGTGCATGGAACTCTTCACATAACCTGCGATATCCCAAAATTTGTCAATTGTGACGATGAAAAGTTCTTTGAGGCTCTCGGCGACCAATTCGACAAGCACCCCACATACGCTGACATTGCCGTGACGCCAGTGGCAATCACGGGCATTCTCATGGTAGTTCTTATGGCAATCGCCATGCTGCTCGCCACCCACTGGATCCGTCGCAGCTTGGTGAAGTTTCCATGGCCGCTGCACCGACTCACGGGATTCAATACATTCTGGTACTCTCACCACTTGTTCGTGATCGTCTACGCGCTTCTCCTGGTCCACTCCATCAAGCTCCTTCTCGCTGGTTCGTGGTACAAGCGAACGGTATGATTTCTTTTCCAACACCAACATCATCAAAAGTTTCGCAAATTTGATAAGAACTCTACTACTTGACAAATTGTTGAAGGTATCTAACACTGATCTTCGACGGTGTGCAGATATGGATGTACACTGCCGTCCCCTTGGTTCTGTATGCCAGCGAACGGTTCTTGCGATTGTATCGGACGAATTACAGCAAGGTGGAGGTCGTGAAGGTGACGATCAGATCACAATTTGATGCATACAAAAACATGGTTCAGCTTCTTACTTTTGCAATGCCTGTCTCACTTCCACTGCAATGGTGGTGTGGTTCTGACGACGATTTGTCTTGTCTGAGCAGGCTGCAGTCTACACCGGCAACGTGCTCGCTATCCACATGACGAAACCCGCTGGCTTCAAATACAAAAGTGGCATGTATCTTTTCTTGCAATGCCCCGCAATCTCCTCGTTTGAATGGCACCCATTCTCCATCACATCCGCCCCGGATGATCCTTTCCTAAGCGTGCACATCCGCACTTTGGGTGACTGGACTACGGAGATGAGGAAGATCTTCTCTGATTCGTTGGGAGGGAAAACGCGCCTGCAAGCTATCAACGATTATGGCCTCAGCGGTGAACTAACTCTGGCTCCAAGGTACTCGATCTTTCACCTCCTTACAAACCCTAAGTTGCATGAAAGTGGTTTTCGATATTGAAGCTAAGCAAATTGTTCCAGCGTTAATCTCTATAATCGGTGTTTGTGCCCAATCGTAGATTTCCGAAGCTGTACATCGATGGTCCTTATGGAGCTCCCGCTCAAGACTACCTCAAGTATGATGTGTTGCTTCTCGTTGGGCTTGGAATTGGTGCAACTCCATTTATCAGTATCCTCAAGGACATGCTTCATCACAGTAGAAACGATTCAGTTTCTGATCTAGTACTTAAAGCCCTCCTCTACTCCTGAATTCTGTCGGTTTAACATCCTTCAGTTTACTTTCTTTTTGCTCCCAAGGCTGCTAGAATTGACTGGAGGTGACTCGCTTTTCTAACTCCAGAGCTCATCCCCTGATTTAAACCCAACTGGAAGTCCTCCTCCGAAGAAGAAAGCCAAGAGGGACCCTAAGGCATACTTCTACTGGGTCACCCGAGAGCAAGGCTCCTTCGATTGGTTCAGAGGAATTATGCGAGAAGTCGAAGAGATCGACAACAAGGAGCTCATTGAGATGCACAACTACTTGACAAGCGTGTACGAGGAAGGCGATGCTCGCTCGACGTTGGTCACGATGTTGCAGTCGTTGCACCATGCCAAGAATGGAGTCGACGTCGTTTCAGGCACTAGGGTATGTGAATTGACATCCGTTTCATGTTTGCACCTCAAACCGTCATTCAAACCTTCTGCGATGTACTCATCTCGTTTTGGAGCCCTAATCCAATGCATTAACATGGATTTTCCCTGATATTTTGCAGGCACGTACCCATTTTGCAAGGCCTAACTGGAAGAACGTTTTCACTAACATGGCCGACACGCATCCAAACAAGCGAATCGGTACTGTTCAATCTCCCCCACTCGATCTTTGGCTTCGCACCGCCAATTTTTTCCTATTTTTCGTCAACTTCTTCGTCAGTTAAGGGGGTTGAGTCATATAATTTAGGTCTTATCTAAGACTTCCTGTTTTGTGTTTTGCAGGGGTGTTTTACTGTGGCCCTGCATCACTTGTAAACGAGCTCAAGACTCTATCGAAAGCATTCACAAAGAAGTCCACAAAATTCTTCTTCCACAAAGAAAATTTCTAATTGGGAGGCTGATTCTTCTTGAGTTTGTGCGTATGCTGAGTCACAAAGAGTTGTAAGATAAAAAGTCCATCAACAGAGGACTTCCCCATCTGCTCCGCCACGAACTAATAACTCAAAAAAACTTGTTATTCACACGACGCAGAACCCCACTTTTTTTAACCAAAGCAGGGCTTATTTAGTGGGTCCAGCTGTGACGATAATTCCATTCGCCATTCGGTGTAATTTCAATACCCTTGTAATAAAGATTAGCCATCACCAATTATCACCACCGATAATTCCCTCAACATGGTTTTTATCACCTCATGATTCCTTACCAAAACGGATTCAAATCAATGATTCACCCACATTGTTTTTCTTGACTGCATCCTTGCTTCCCTGTCTGTAATGTTCCAATTATGAAACCCTAATTGAGACTCGTACAACATGTGAGTCGTGCACATAACAGGCACTTGTTCGTCACTACCTGATGAAGCTCTTCTAAACAGTCCCTGCACTGATTAGTGTGGACCCAGAAGCCATTGTTTGCGCTAGAGGGTTTCTCGGGTCCGTAGAGAGGTGATAGTCTGCAGCATTCTTCTAGAAAATCATGCACATTTCATGCTTCTTATTGAATGAGTCATCCCCCCTGGCAACTCACAGTCCTTCACAACTTGGGAAACCAGTCAGAGGAGTAGCTTGTCAACAGGACCTGACGACTGCTCCGTCAGAGCACATGGCATTGAAAAAGATGAATCGGCGCAGTAGGGGAGCTGCTCAGAGATGACGTTGTTGGAAGCATCGGTTGCGGTGGGTGGCAGTACAAAGCAATCACCCGGTGATTCGATTCCACACACACACGAGGTTATTGTGATCACGTAATGAGGGTGCATTTGTTCCGCTTTACAAGACAATCTGAGAACAAGACTGTAAGTTCTACTATCTCAAAATATGCCTGGCAATGTACGTAAATCTGCTTACAGAAACCTTTCTTCTGAACCTCTAGCGTAAAGCATTAGCATGCCACAGTAAATCCTACGCTACAGGTCTATGCTTAGTTTGCTGAAGTGGGTTTTGCCGAACCAACCAACACACACAACCTAGACGAAGTCTTGTCTTTTTTCCTAACCAATCTTTCATCGAATCCTGCTGTTACGCCACAAAACCAAGCACAAGCATCTCAATAAGTATTTTTCATTAGGATAAGCTTCACCTCTTTCCTAAGGGTGCAAGCCATGGGGTGCTGCTAACAAACCTTCATCGAAGCTCGTGCACGATAGAGCGCGGTTTATCGAAACAGCTTGACTTTTTCTGGATTGGTGGGGTTTTGACCCATGAGGCCATCTTGTGCTGTGTTTTGAACAGTGTCAAACCTTGGAAACCCTAAACTCCTTGCTTCTAGGTTTCAAGCGATATGTAGACTAGATTCAATGAGAATCGCTGCAAAAACTCAAGAATTAGATGCACATTGATCAAGAGCAAAATATGAAAAAGGGCCGAGGCAAAAGATAGGTTTGGGTTGCGACCTCGGCAAGCCTGTAATGCAACAATTTGAAACAGTTTGTTACAGAATTCTGCAATTTTTGCCTCTGAGAGGTGGTGCATGTGTTGTACTAGGAGAGTGCAAATTCATGCTTCGGAGCTGCAGGAAATGTAAAAGGAACAAGAGTGGGTGTCCATGCTGCTGTACAAAACGTGCACAAATCTGCAATTCAAGGTTGCAGAAAATACCAAAACACGAGCAGAGAGAACTGCGTTGTTGCATTGAAACTGCACTGAAAAGTTTCATCAGTTTATTAAAAAAAACATCAATTCCTTTCAGACTGTTAAGAACTCTTCTGGAAGTCAAAGTCAGTGTATGTGTGAATATACATATATATATATATATATATTTATGTTTTGTTTATTTATTTTTGTGATTTTTTTTGTTTTATTATGATTATTTATTTGGTTTTAGACTGTTTTATGTACTTTTTGTATTTAATGTTGATGTATTTATTTTAAAAAATTAAAAAAATTACATTCTTAAAACTTTGTTGTAAGCTTTAAATAATTTATGTTTCAATCTTAAATTGGAGCTCACAACCTTTGCTCTTTTTTTTTCTAAGTACTAATAAAACTATTCTTCTTGGAGAATTGAAAATATTCATACAACTTGATTGCATTATTAAGTTTATATGTTGACCAATTGATTGTTTAAGTTTTTATTTTAAAAAAAGACTTATTGGAAGACTTAAAAATAAATTTATTAAAGTTTAAATAACCATCAATTACTCTATTGGTCTTTTATCTAAAATAAAAAAAATATTATATTATACTTAATATATATATATATATATATATATATATTAAATAGATCCATCCATTTACTAAATTGATCCACCGTATCATTAGAAAAATGGATCATCTCTAAAAACCATCATTAAAGTTATAGCCCTCATCCTAACCTCCCCCATTCCTAGTCCTTGTTTCTTTTATTCTCAACTTCTTCTTTTGATCCATTTTGTTCCCAATCCTTGCTTCTTTTGTTCTTGGCCTTCATCTCAACATGCACATAATCCTCCCCTTCCCCCTTCTCCTCTCTCCCCTCCCTTCCATTTCCAACTCTTATTCCAATCCCCTTAGTTTTCAATCTCTACTCCTAACTTTGTCACTAGCCCTCATTTCAACTACCATCCATGTTTGATTAATAATACTTTGACTCATAATTGTCTTTGAGCCTATGAGCTACTTGGTTGATGTTTAATGACAACCTCTACTTGATAATTCCTTCACAAGTGCAACATTAAGTATAAGATCCATTGTCGTATTATAGTTGCTTATAGTATGTAAAAAACTAATGAAAACATATATTATGTTTGTAAGTCGATGTAGATTAGAGTGGTTAGTAAGTAAATATAAAGAGATTTGATATAAGAAAATTTATTTGGAGGTTTATCTATTTTGATTATAGTGTTTATATTATGTAGGATTTAGATTTTTAGTATAAAGCTTAAGAAGAGATTAGAGCCTAAAGAAGAAAATCTAAACTAGTAGGAGGCTTATTGGGAGGGATGAAAAGAAGGTATGGTCGGATGAAAGTAAGGAATAGAGATCTTCATCCCTATTGGTTGAAGGCCATGCCCAATAGGCTTCAAGGAGGCTGCCTGAGGCCTTATTAGAGATTAGAATTTCTCTTTGGAGGTTATTTGAGCTTTTGAGGCTAGGATCAACAAGTTTAGATTTTTGGATACAGATTGGGTGCAAATTTTGTGTGATTTGGAGTTTTTATGATAGAGTTATTGGCGTTCAAAGTTAAGGTATCAATTTTGTATCTATTGTCACTCTTTGGAGCATAACATACGCCTACAGAATGCAATGAAAGATCAATGATTGGATTTGCAAAGAACACTTTCTTAGCTACATTTTTCACATATTATTTGATGAATTTGGAATTCAAAAGAAGAATTTATAGAGAGTTTAAGTGAGCACATCCAAATCAAAGGCAATAAGTGAGTGATTTTGTTCATAGTAATGGTTGGAACCATACCTTGAGTTTCTAGATAAGTTTTTGGCTCAATCCTTTGAAAAAGGTAGATTATTGTATTAAAAATTTATATATACAAATTTTGTGGCATTTGAATGCTTAGATTGTGAGATATGAAGAAAATTGTACGTAAGTATATAAAAACTAGGGTTTGAAGCTACTATTAGGATTTTGGCCATATCTTGAGATTTGCAACAAATTTGTAGTTGAAATTTGTTGTGGTATTTTTTAGAAGTATATCAGTACTTTACATAAAATTTGAGTGTGTTTGAATAGTCTGATTGGAAGATATTAGTTGTTGAAGTTTGGAAATAATATCCTAAAAAGATATGTAAGGATTTAGAATTTTTTTATCATATTTTGGATATTTTTGGAAACTTAAGACTTATATGTTTGGTGTAATTTTTCCTAGAAGTGATATATATATATATATATATATATATATATATAAACTTGCTCTTTCCTATTTCAAGACTTGATTGAGCAATTAGTGACAGCCAAAAGCCCAGTACTTTCTTGAGGCAAATTCTCTCTACTTTGACGTATTGGTGCTTCCATTGAGAGAGCCTTAAGGCACTAATTATATCAACAAGTTAAGATGAGGGATCAAATCCTTGGATTTGTATTACTAGATGGTATAGGTGCCCATGATTTATTCAAGGCATTTGCTCAATTTATGGAAGAAAGGCAACAAGTAATATTTATGGAAGAAAGACAATAAGTAATCCTCTCCATGGAAGGTTTGATGAGAGGAAGATCACTAAGTTCTTCAAGATTTATATATATGAAATAGAGGTGCATCAAATTTTAGAAATGAAGATGATTACCACCTTTGATTTAGGAGTGGTACCAGAAATTAGAGAGAAGGTGTAAGAGTTGCATATTGAAACTATATTATAGAAGAAATTTGAAGAACTTTTGCAAGATGAATTTTTTGAAGAAGATTTAGAAAGAAGAATAAGACAGACTTTTTTGGAGTGGATTGAACAAAGGCCAGGGAATCAAATGGCTCCAAATGAATTAATCAAGAAATTTGAGACTAAGTTTAGGAAATTACTACAGTAAGAAAGGCGACTGTTGGAAATAAGAAAAATTGGATTATTCTTACAAGCAATTGATGGATACTTAGAAGATAAGTTGCTCTTTTATTTAGGAAACAATGCATTTGAAAGTGGTTTTACAAATAATTGGAGACTAGTAAAGGAGATAGTGGGACTTTTAGCTAAGCAACAAAAGATTAAGACTTGTGGTTTAATATCAAGGTTGGAACTAGTGCCTACATCTTAGAATCAAATGCCACCTCAAAAGATGATCAATATTATCAGGGATAGTACTCTTGAAGAATTGATGAAGGGCATATAAGATTTGAAGATAGAAATGACTAAGTTGAAGAAATCTTAGATAGCAAACTTATGAAAGACAATTGAAGGCTCAAAGAAATTTGTAGAGAGATGTATGTGGTGTGATAATCCAAACCACATGTGTGATAAGTATAATAGCTTGAAAGGTGCAATCAAGAATAGTATTGTATATTTTAAAGAGGGTAAGATAAGACTTACAAGGTCAAATGAGCCTTTAAAGACTAATTTTGGGAAGAGTGGCATGAAAAAATTGGTCAAGGAGTAAATATCAAAGAATAATGTCATACAAAGAGAAAGAGCTAAGTATTATTTTATTATAGTTGAACAAAAAGTAATTAAGGCTAATTTCTTACCAACTACAGAAATCATGATCAAAGGAGCTAAAGCTATCAGAAAAATAATTGGGTAGAATGATTTAGTTGATGTTACTAGTATTAAAGCATATTTATATAGGAAAAAATATAATGATAATCTACATGATACCATGGTTGAGGAAAAAAGAAGTAAAGCTATTCATGAGGGGGATGTTATTGAGCCTGAAAACAAGAAGAGATCTCCAAGAAACAAAGAAGCTTCTAAGGAACGAAAATCAAAGAAAATGTCTTCTTCCACTCATCTTGGTAGTGCACCATTACCAAAAGAGTAGTGGGAGAAGGGCAAAGAAAAGGAAAAAGATGATATAAGCAAATCTAAAGATAAAAATCTTACTTATAAGCTTCAAACTGACATTGAGATATCTATAGATATAAAGAGCATTTTAGAAGAGAAGATCTTAGATTCCAAAATTGAATTCATTATAAAAAAGGCTCTTAAAATAGCTAAGAAGGATTTCCATGAGTTGATCATTAATGTGATAGAGAAGAAGAAACAAATGACAATTGAAGCTATTATGGTAGACGCATTAGATACTCAGATAACTATGGATGAGAAAGAAGAGATAAGACAAGCATTTATACAATTTGTAATATCAGAAGCTAAAAATAAGATTGATATTGAAGACGAGGCTTTAATTAAATATAAAGAGGCTATCCAAGAGCATCAAATGAAATATGCATCTATAAAATTTATTGAGATAACAAAAAATGCACAAGAAACATGTATAAATACTTGCTCTAAATGTGATAATGATGGAATAGGAAGTACAAGCTATTTAGTTCCTTACTAGGCTAGAGCTACTTTAGAGACATATGTGAGGTGGAAAGATTCTAAAGATCCAATTTTAGCCTTAGTTGTTCATGGATCTGAAATCAACATCATGTCAAGGCAGATATATGAGAAGAACAAGTAGCCAGTTGATAGCAATCATGGTTGGATAATTAGAGTTGCAAAAAACTAATAAGGTGATTTATATGGAGCTTACAGAGCTGTAAAGACTATGATTGGAGATGTGGAAGTGGAACAAAATTTCTTCGTACAAAACTTTGCTACATATCTAGTAATACTTGATCAACCCTATATTATAGCTATCAAAATGGAAACTAGAGTCTTAAATGATGGTTTACATTATGCCAGGATTTTTAGTTGGCATGGAAGAAAAGCTGTATAATTTATTATTGTGAAACCTATTTATGAGAGGCACAAAAAGTAATTAAGAGGGATGCCTTTGAAGCCAAGAAACAACTTTGTGGAATTTTAGAAAATACTTCTATAGAATGAAGACACATGGATACAAATAAATCATTTACAAATCCTA